TCAACCTTTTGAAGTCAATTGGTTCACCATGTAAATTTAAATGCTTAAATTTTAATAAGTCAAAAATTCTATTCCCACCTATTACATTAAAAAAAATTTCCCCATTCTCAAATTTTTCAATGTTCAAAAAAAAAATATTGATAGATGAATGTTAGTTTTAGTATTTTACAAATAGTCATTTTATATCAATGATTTATTAATTTAAATAAAAAAATTAATTTTTTAAAATAAGATCTTAAATTTAAGTTTTATAAATAAATAAATAAATAAATATTAAAAAACTTTTTTCGATAAAAATTAACATTCTGAATCAATAAAATACAATATGATTTTAAGATATAAAAAGTTAATAAAAATAATAATAATCCTTTACTTCTTTTTTTTTAATCAGGTCGAAATGCTCGTAATTATTACAATTAGTTGTACTCTCTTAATTAATGCTCTTTCCATCTTGATGTTTTAATTTAATTAATGTCAGTCAGATGTCTATCTCAACCACGGGATCCAAGAATCTCAACTGGAGGACCCACCTATCTTATAGTTGAAAATTTTTTTAGTTAAATCACACATTTTTATTAAGATAAGATAACCTTTTATTAAAGTATAGGTGGCCATTTGAGCAATAAAACCCTTTTATAGATGAAATTTGATGTCTTAAGATTCTTATTTTATAATACACATTTTATTTAAAAATCAAAATCTTTTTCAAAAAATTCAAATTCCTTTTTCTTAAATTAATAAATTATTAATAGATGAAATTAACTTTTTGAAGTCAATTGGTTCACCATGTAAATTTAAATGCTTAAATTTTAATAAGTCAAAAATTCTATTCCCCCCTATTACATTAAAAAAAATTTTCACATTCTCAAATTTTTCAATGTTGGAAAAAAAAATTATTGATAGATGAATGTTAGTTTTAGTATATTACAAATAGTCATTTTATATTAATGATTTGTTGGTTTGAGTGAAAAAAATTAATTTTTTTTAATAAAATGTTAAATTTAAGTTTTGTGAATAAAAAATAAGCATTAAAAAAGTTTTTTTAGTTTTTAGTCCAAGATCTTGATATTTCTTTGTTGTTTTTTATTGTCGATTTTATCAGTTTTTGGTGTATCATAATTATTTTGCTGTCGAACAGTTTCTTGTGATTTGAAATAGAGATCTGTGATTATGTATGAAG